GAAAGTTTGTATGTGTGGATGGATGTTTGTTACTCTTTCACGCAAATAGGTACTACTGTATGAATTTTAATGACATTTTACAATAATATATATGTATAAGCCATCGGAATAACACATAGGCTATAATTTATATACATATTTTAAGAATATCTGTCTTTCTGTCTGATTGTTACGCTTTCAGCCTATTCTACGCAGACGTAGTCGCGGGCAGCAGCTAGTAGTTTATATAGAATGTGAGTGCGGAATGCAATTTTTTTTAAATTATGCATTAAAATACATTAAATCGATAAAAAAATACACACACTGCCATGCATAATAATTTATGTTCTAATTTCGGCCACTAGGCACTACCACTAGTCAAATTAAATACGCCCACCAACACTGCTGGACCTCAAAATACTATAAGCTCCTTTTGCGTAGATAATAAAAATAATTAATAAAATAAATGAAAGTAGCTCGGGTTAACTATAATATCAAGACGTTAAACAAATCAGCCGGGAATTTAAAATCAAAATTAAAAGGTGATAAAATTCGTACAATAGTTTCATTGAATATCAGTAACGTTTTTTTTGAATTGAGGTGGTAAGCGAGATGGCGGTTCACCCGATGTTAAGTGATAACCGCCGGCCATTGACATTTGTAGCAACCGTACGGTTACAGATGCGTTGCCACCTTGTCCGGGGAAGTACTACAGCCCCATAGAAGCACTGTCGTCTGGTGAGGTAGCCGGGGCCTACTGAAAGGTTGGCAGTTGCTCATAGGCGGTAATAACATGATATCAGTTGAACCGCCTTGTCACTTCTCAACTTTTCACATAAAGCACAATAAAAATGTCGAAAACTTCAAATGGAGAAATCAATATGTAAACAAATGTTTCTTCTTTGAGTTTTCTTTTTCTATATAGTACCTGGAGGAGGTTTGTTTTTTTTTTGTAAATCGTGTATTTTGGAAATTACATTTAGATACAAATTACTGAGTTATGAAATATGCATAATATTTTTCGATCTTACCGACCTGTGAGCCGTGATAGCTCAGTGTCCGGGCGCTCGCCTTTAATTCAATATACTCGAGCAACCTGAGTTCGATCCCCGGTGCCGGCACCAATGAAGTTTTTAACTTTAAGTGCTGACTTATCACGTGCTCCGCGGTGAAGGAAAACATCGTGAGGAAACCTGCATATTTTCGAAATAATAACAAAAAAAAATATATATTTCGAAAATATGTGAAGTCCGCCAATCCGCAGTGGGGCTGCGTGGTGGACTATGCCCTGATACCCTCTGTGTAGAGGAGGCCTTTGCCCAGCAGTGGGACATGTATAGGCTGTTACTTTACTTTTACTTTTACTTTACCGACCTAATAATAAGAAAATATGAAGTGGTGTTTTTCACAAAAGAAACAACTTTAAAAAAAAGTGAAAAAAATAACAAAATCATCTGGATCAACAAAAAATATAAATAAAGAAAGCACTGATCTGGAATCGAAAAAAAAAGGCAAAAAAAAAGAGTGTGTAAATGATCGTGACACGAACCACGGCCGTCTGTTTTGGGGCCGCCCGATTACCGACCGAGCTATTATAACATTTTTTTGCGGCAAAATTTACCGTCATATTCGAATGATATTTGTCATTCCCTGAAAACAGGGATAAAAGGACGCTTTCTAAAAATGAAACCTAGCTAGATCGATTTTTCGCCCCCGAATCTACGCACATACATTTCATGAAAATCGCTGGAGCTGTTTCTGAGATTCCGATTGATTTCCGAGTATATTATCCGCTGAAACGTTAGGGCGACTACGGCAGCCCAAATTTTTTAAGCGTCAAACGTTAGGGCGACTATGGCAGCCCAACCACTTTGTTAACTTTAAAAGTAATTTTCTCCATAGAATTGTCGTAGTGGTTCAATATCGCTAAAAAAGATGGTTCCTGATTAAATAACGCGTCTTTTGGTGGGTAGAACACAATAAACGGCGACAGCTACCCTCAAAAAAAAATTGTTTACAAAAACTGTTCGAAGTTATTTCAAGTGGTTGTGGGGTCCGCATTTATAATGTAAGTATTGATTTATTTATAAACGCAGTGTATTAGTATTATACATTGAAATAATCCTCATGAATATTTCTTTCATGATTTCATCAAATTATATGAATCAAAAGTCTAAAAGAATATTATTTCGGGTGATAAAATGAACACTTAAAAATCTACCCTCATTGTGCCGGTTTTCATAATTAAAATTGTCTTATATATTATATATTGTAGTAAAATATTCCTAGTAATTGTAAAAACAGTTCATTATTAACATTTAAAAACACTAAAAACGAAAGGATTGTTACGCAAACACTTATTATTTTACGTTTTTAAAATTGTCTTCCGCAGGTTTATTGTATGGGCTGATGACGTCACACGAACGTCACGAAAAAGTATCAAAATAAGGTTACATACAAACTGTGAGGGTATTTTCGTATTATCGCGTTTTTTTATTTGGTGTGGTACATTCGTTTTATTTATTTTATTATAGGGTATTTTTGTTTTATCTATGCCAAATACGAACCTTCTTTCACCATGCACTAATGTTTAAAAATAAAATCACATACGTCATTCCAAGCTGTCAAGACGGATCTTTGATTTTTAAGACGTCATCCTCCTAATCGTAATAATACTAATATTTACTGCAAGTTATCAAAACGTGAGAATGATATTGCGAAGACATGGACATGTGAGAGTGTAAGATGAACAAGCTTAATTATCTTTTTCATTTTACGTACTAATCGTAACTACGCTTAATATTTCAGTTTATTCAAAGAAATATGTAAGTCGTTAAGGCTTTTGGATTTCAAGGAAGAAGCAGGCCACACCGATGGTGAAAGTAACCCCTTCCTGTTTGATGTTTTCAAAAAATACTGGAACAATAATGAAAAATTTGGGAATGCCAGGAGCGCGACATTAATCTTTGCGTTGAGGGCTGTTTTAAGGCATATCACCAGCCGTAAAATAAACAATATTAGCTGAGATATAGCTCACATACTGTTACTGTGCTTTTTTGTATTTTATTACAATATCATAAATCTACAATAAATGCTCATTTCAAATATTAAAAAAATGTGTCATAACTAAATATGTATATTATATACCGAAATTTAATAAAAATATATTTTATAAATAAATATGTGTTAATATATATGTTATTTAGAAATATAAGAATGTCATGTACCTATTTATGAAACAAAATATTTCTAACTAAATAATAAAAAAATAGATGAATAACCCTATGTTTATGGCCTTATGGGCGGCCATCTTGCCGTCGCATTGAAAAACAATCGAGTGTCGGATTTCAAGTGGAATAGGGTCTATGTTTATGTTTATTGTATAAAGTTTACACAATGAATGTTTACACTTTTGGTATCAAATTAAAGCTTATATTGTCTAGTTTAGTAAAGAATAAATATCAAATGAGATTTGATACAATTTTATTTGTAAAAACTTGTTTAAAAAAATATTTACGTGAAATTTAACCAATATTCTCAACTTTCATATTTAATTCTTTGTTTTGGATTAATAGTTGTACTTTAATTTACACATATTTTGATTCCTTATAGTTTCAGCTTTATATACGTATTTTTTATTTCGCTTAAGCTGCCGTTATTTGCTAGAAAATATACTTTTAATCAGCCATGACGTAGGCGCTTGACGCAATTAATCACCGATCGGTGGACGTCTATTCAGCTGTCAATAAGGGTTACATGGCAGCGGCTACATAGGTTTGTGTTATAGTTCACTGTTTTTGAATTTTAGTTTAATTTATCGCTCTTACACTTAAGCTTTATTCTAAACTAACATACAATAGCCGGCGAGAGAATTCGTTATTTTGAGAAAGTGTTAGAAAATACACGCCCGTCTTTTAAGGAAATTTGTGAGCTTCACAGGTTTGAAAAATTACGTAAGTGAGCGGAACAATAACTATAAAAATCAGTGTTAAAACGACTATGGCAATCTGTTGGCAACTACGCTGTGCGGTAAGATTTGTCGGATCCGAATAAAACGCGAGGGAAACCGCGGGGCATCGCTACTACAGAGAAATATAGAGTATCAGTATAAATATCTAGGTATTATTGTATCTACAAAAAATAACAACTGTCAAAGTTGAAGTTCTGATCGATATGTCTGATTAAATTGAAAATACGAACTGTGCTTACATCCGTTGATGGGTGATATTCCTGATTGATACATTCTGCATTTTTGTACTTGGCACACGAAAGTAACGCCATCTATCCGAGACTCACCGAAAATGCTTTTAAAATATGTGTCTATTGGTTCTGTTGACTTATTTTAAAGAGCATCGTGCATTGACCCGTATACAGCTAGCGAATAAGCAATAATTAAACGTTGCCTGTAGAAAAATACTTACTATTAATTAAAATTGGACGGCTACCCCAATTTATCGTTTGCCCTCATTAACTTTCGATTATGTAAAGGAAAGGAAATTTCGTACTAAATTAAAGCGGACTTTTTGAACGGTAAAAGGTTTTCGTAATAAAAGATATTTCCTGTGCCCTGAGCTCTCGGAAAAACTTATAATAAATGATTTAGGCAATGCTATAAATATATGGGATATATTGGTTATCCAAATAATTGCCCCATGCGGGAATAGAAACCTTAACCCGCGAAACCGAAACCAGTAGGATAGCTACAAATGGGTCATCGAACGCTAATATAATCTGAGACGGTTTACCTTCGCAGCGGTCAACGTAACCTGCTGATTTGTAAAGGTCTACGTGGGAAAATCGCAAAGTTCGAATTCGATGCTTTGTTCAGATCTTCCTTCGTAAAGCTCGGGAAAGCTAGACAGAGATCTGTTCTCGAGGCTTCGAAAATATCAATTAACATCGTTTGGATACTCGCGAGTGTGCGGAGAGTTAATGATTATTATTTGGATGCTCGCTAAAGAGCTCGAGAGTGTCGTCCCGTGCTATCGGGCGGGATTTGGCGGGCCCGCGCTTGCCGAGAAATGCCGGGGAATCGGGGAGCGCGTTTCCCCGGCCGCGCTTCCGACCGGGGGAGGAAGCGGGCGCCCAGGGCGGCGCGCAAGCCTCGGCGCAGGGCCCACGCCTTCGCGTCGCCCGCCGCCGCGAGCCAGTGCCCGCCGCGCCGCCACCCGCGCAACACCGACCGCGTAACGCCGACATTCGCCGACAACCGCCGACAACCGCCAACAACCGCCGACAGCAGAAAGCAGTTGCCCCACGCCGGCGGAGAGATGGCGCCAGCATGCCGCGTCCGTACTGCAGTCTAGTAAGTAAGCGGCCGTTGTGGCGTTCGCTAGTGTCGGTAGTTTTTATGTTACGTAACGTCACGGCGCATCACCTTCCCCGTGTCGGCGCGCGGTCGTGCGGTTTGTGACGATTAATCGACGGGGTCGTTAGCATTGTTGCTGTGACCGATGTCGCTAGGTTGGGGAACACGTTGGTTGTTGAAAAATAAACAATAAATTTTTGTTGGGCGATTTTCGAGCGGTTTCATAGGAAAAAGGTAATAGAGATGGCCCATATAATAGTAGTACATTGCTTGAAATGTTTAAGGCCCGCGCTACAAAAATACTTGTGTATAGTAAATGGCTTCATTGCCCTAAATGTTTAAGGCCCGCGCTACAAAAATGCTTTTGTATAAACGCGTTTGTTTATTTCAAAAATATAGCCTCGTTGAAAATATAGTTACAATTTTGGAATTTATCTCGTTATCGACAAAGAGAGCTCATTCGAATTTAAAATATTTATATTTGTGCAAGTTCAGCTCTTGAGTTTGAGCCTAACTTTGTCAAGAAAATATGAACTTGTATCGCATTGAAGTATTCTTGCAATAATTTATACAAAAGCTCATCTCTCAGTTGCATTAAGCGCTTTTACTATTGACTGTAAGAATTGAATAACACAAATATAACAATGTCATCTACATTTTATATATATATATCTATATGTTACATCAAATTCTTCTCTTTTAATAATATCACAGAGGTACTGCTAGTATTTCACAGATTTTTGTAACTAAACTGCATTTTATCTTATTTTTATTTCTGTTACTTATAGTTAGGTATAACTTTTACTTTTTTAATGTATATACTGCACACTATTCAACAGTTTTATTCAATTTTCTAGATTGACTTTAGCCTTTAAAGCCTCGTCGCAAAATTTGTTATTTCTCAAGTGGAAACAATAGTTCTTCTTTGTTTTGTTAAATTTTACCTATCGTTAACAGTTTTTGATAAATTGACTGACATTAAAATTAAAAATTTTATAGTGGTAATCCCTCACTTGAGACTAAATAAAGACTAGATTAAGTTAACGATTTTCAACAAATTTTAATTTTAATAGAAAATTTTACCTAGTTGTGATGTGAACTTTGCGCTAACTTCGTTATTTTTCTTTCATTCGGTCCTAAATTAGCTCGCACATCGGAGGTTGGTCAATCAATTAACTTGCAAAGGGGCCCCCAATTGGCTTCGAAAACTCGCAGATTAAAAATAGCACCCCGTACAACCCTCCGAGCGTGCCATTAACCTCGTTCGGGCCACGACCCCAAGGCTCGCGAATTTCCGCCCCATACGTGTGTACGTAGAGTTGCGTTATGGCCTCTTTATAGGGTTTTATGCATTTGGCCAGAGCGCACTGTTTGTATTCATTCGCGACGGAACTCGTCCGCTCCGAAGAGCACGACATGAAGGGAAACTAGGCTCCAAATAGCACCCCGAAATAAAATTCGTTGTAATTAACAATTAATCACTTATTTTTTATGCGAGAAGGTGGAAAGTGAGCTTGCCGGTCACCTGGTGTCAAGTGATAACCCCCGCCCATGGACATTTGTAACACCCCTAGGGTTGCAGATGCGATGCTACCTTTTAATAAAGTTGGCCCTGGCTATCTCACTAGGCGAAACACTGACGAAACTATGACACCTCCACTTCACGCCGGTCTTCTGTGAGGTCGTTGTAGTTATCCGGACGGACCTCGTGCAACAGAGAAAGAAGACTGTTATAGATTGTATTGAGAAAAAAAAGTATGTTTTTAGTTCTGCGATGTCAAGTAACATAAACGGTAAGTTATAACTTTTTGACTGTATCGGGTTATGACCCTTACAAACCCAAGTTATAGCTTAATTAAAGTCAGGCGACGCATTCATAACCTCACCCGGTGTTACGAATATCCAGTACGTTAGTGATGAATTACTATCGGCCGAGCCTTTTCCTTGTGTTCCTGCTGCAGACTGTATCCAGTATCATGGAAAGATGAACGTTAACCAACCGATAAGCTTTTTCGTGCGAGCGACCAATACACTACAGAGTCTGCAGAATATCAAGCGAAAAGATAAACCGTATTTATTTATTTATACCTTATTGTACGCCAAAAACATAAATTTACTTGCTGAATGTAATAGGAAGTATAGGCGTATTATTATTGCATACTCCATTAGCGTTAATTATTTCGGCGCCAACGATCGCTCGGTTGTTCAAACGAGTTTATATAACTTTCATTATTTCTTCCCTCGTCAATTAATGATGTCAAATTAAGCTTCTGGTTCATTTAGTTTCTCAATAATCCAGAGCCTATTAGCATTATGAACTGATTTTATCTCAAATACCGTCACGTCAAACTCGACTTCATTTCAAACCATGTAGGGTAATGAAGTTTTTTTTCAATGTGAGTTCGTATCGTTTTGTTAACTTTGGACTGATGCGATTCCTTGCTGGTTCGTAAAGTTAACCGACTACTTTTTTATGTGAAAAGTTGCCAAACGAGCAGATGGTTCACCTGATGGTAAGTGAATACCGCCACCCATGGACATCTGCTACACCCGAGGGTTAGAGATGTGTTGACAACCTTTTGAAAATTGGGCTCCGGCTACCTCACTTACCAGAAGAAACGCGAAAGTATTTGTCATACTTCCACTTTACGCTGGTCTTCTATGAGGTACTTACCCGGACGAGCCTGCCCATTCGTGCAACAGCCGAGGCTGCTGCGTGGCCCTACCACCGTTAGGGCTCCAAAGTTATTAGAAAAAGGTTATTGGTTAAAAGAACTGTAATATTTTTTATCAAGTTTATTTTAAAGTGTTTTAAAACACAATATTTACGCTTGTAACACAATATTTACAAATTCAAATGGAAATATCTTTATTTAATATAGAAGCATTACCCTTACTTATTGATTGTCAAAAAACACTTCTACTGGTTCGGACAATTAAAATTACGCTTACAAATGCACAAGTGCAGCAAGAGTTATCTATGTAACTAGTTCATACTATATAACTTGTTCGTTGTTCTTGGATCGCCATTTACATGAGTTTTGAATGATATTAGCTTATTAACTAGCTTAATTACTAACAGATTAATTGCAAAGGTATGAAGGCAAATTTATTGTGTGAACAAGTTTTCTAGAACGCACGTTTAAGTTTTCAAGGAAGTACTCCTAAAGAGACTTTTAATTGCGGAGCTGGTAATACGACAAATATTTTTTATTATAGTAATCACCCACTTTCGCGGCGCGTAGTTTAATTTCGCACGCTGCTGATTAAAACCGATACAAAAAAGCGAGCTCGAACAAAGGGGCGCTCACAACTGTTCCCCAGAAAACTGGGGCGATAGCGATATCCCGGGTTTTCCTTGTTAACGTCACTGTAGCGGCTGTAGGTCCATTGTAGGCACAACTACAGTTTCTAGAAGTATTATAGTTTGCGTCTTTTCAACGGGAATTTGATGTGGCGGAGCTTAGCAGCGATTACACGAAAGGACAACACGTCCGAGAAAGTGTCTCGATCTCACAGAATGCCATCGCGATGTAGAGTTGTTAATACTTTTGCATTTCGTCCGTTTTATGGATAAAGACGTACGCTCTACAAATACCTCTAGTAGTTATTGTCTTTTAGATAGCACCGAAATGAAGCAGTTGGTATGCGTTGCTGTCGCATTCAGTGTTATACAAAATATTGTGTAATAAATTACGGGTTGCGCAACGGAGGATCTTAAAAAAACGATTTAATATTAAATAATATTTAATAAAGGTTCTACACAAGTTCTTAATACTATTTACTTAATACGAAATTGATTCAAGTGCAGTACGATGGTGACTGGGGATGTAACAAATAATACAATACTTTGTGTAATACAATATTTGTAGGCACCTCAAGTATCATTAGCTAGTATCATCCAAGTTTAAACGGCCTTATATATCGGACTCCTTTGATTCGAATTTCGAAGAAATATGACTCTTGACGCGGCGGTATTTATTAAAGGTAATAAGTAAGTACTTATAGTAGATATAGCACTTTATATTCGCAAGTCTCAATTCCTTTAGAGATGTTTGTATGTAGGATTTACAAGGTAACGACATCGATTCTGATTAGTTCCTTTTAGTTTTATTACATATTTTTTTATGCTTCTCCATCGAGTTGAGTTGAGCTATTGTTTTCAAGTTCCTGTTCTTTTCCTCTTCAGATCCGATCGCTTATTACCGAGACTCTACTAATACTAGTAGAGGGCACGGTCGAGTCTGTCCGTTGCTATGCGGAACTTGTGATTATTATTGATGTAGACGGCGCCCTGACGTGGTAACACGTTGTACCCGGGGCCATGGCGACAAGGTGGGCGTGGGGGTGGGGAGGTGGGGGAGGGGTCGCTACGATTTATATGGCGTGCGGGGTGCCACCTGAAGGTCGCCGTTGGTGGTGCGATATGTTCGAAGGCCGCGTTGATAGTACAGTAATCACAAAATCGCTTTTTAACACGCTTTTGAAAAGCTCTTTTATAACGCAGCTTTTAAGCTAGCCGCTACTGCAATTCTCATTCAAACTGTTTGCGGCATGAAGAATTAAAATTTAGGATCAAAAATTTATCGTATTGTATGGCGCCTTCGTCAGCCATGTAGGGCCTTGAAATTAATGTGTTAAGTGCCTTAATGTTTGTATGCGTTTCAAAATTTCTGTTATAACAATTTTAAATGAATACAAAGAATGTAAACGATTTTCTTATTTAATTTTAATTGTCTATGAATTCAAGTGACAATAGAAAATTTACAACTTTAAAAATAAATTTCTTTTTATTCAAATATACATGTCTTACCTGTTGTATAGGATATTTAACGCTGAGCAAATGTTAATATTCCACAGTTAAAAGTGTCAACAGATACACCGAACAACAAAGCAGACCATCGTCACCTTTGTTTAAATTTAAAATCGACAAAATATCTGGCTGGCCCGTTTTTAATGAATTTTTTTTTGTGTCCGCAGGTCGATTCGAGAATGGCTAAGATTCACTATTCGTTTTTTTTTATTTATAAGTTGTCGGATTTAAGTCACGTGTATAGAACAACGCCTGTTGGGGTCGCTAGTATACATATACAGCGTGTCGTTACCATCGCGACAATAAATGAACACACATATAGGGGATAACTTTTTAAAGTTGTATTAAAAATTTAAATTCTTTAAACATCAGAGTTATTAAATTTTCCAAAACAAAGAATTTTAGAACACCCTTACCTATAAAAGCGTAACGTTAAGTTCATTTGTAAAGGTCACAAAGCATATGAATGGGTTGAATGATTTTAAAAGAGACAAAACATACTGTTAGAAGGAGAGGTTTGTAATACGACGCTGTGGCGCGAGTTGTATAGGATGCTACAAATTTTGTTTCTTTTTTACTTAATTAGTTTGTTTGAAAAATATTTTTTTTTAATTATGGATTTTGTTTAACGTTAATATTTTTTTATGATTATTGGCATGTAGCGTTAGACGTGTGTTCATTTATTATCGCGATGGTAACGACACGCTGTATTTTGTCTATTTTAAATTATATAATATATATACACTTATTTTGTCAGTAATTGACATATTACTTCGACGATGATACAGGACATAATTGTCGCCATTCTAACTTCGGTGCAGTATAAGTTGGGAAATACGTTTATTAGTTCCGTGAAAAATGTCACGTGCGTGATTTAGGTTAGTGCCCGGTAGCTGCATGCAGTACGCTGCAGCACAGTGGGGCCGCGAATACTTTAGTTAAAACGCGAAGCTTTTGAACCGGGCAAATTCTACTGGAGCGATGATGAATTTTCACGTTGGTAGGGAACTTTATTAATTCCGAGAGGGAATCACGCGGGTGTTATAAACAATAACAATGACGACCGGCTACTCTGTTATATTGTTACATTTCTCCGTTCATTGAGAGTTAGGACGCCTAACAAGTTTTGAAATAAACATGAAAGGTTATTTTGTTACATTTTAGACGAAAACTTATTTTGATTGCGTGTTTATAAACTCAGACAGTCCAGTTTTAGCCTTTTGTATATCTCGTAGAATTTCTATTTCATTCTGGCCTATTATTATGGCACATTTCCATTTTTTGCTCAGTTGGAAACATAACATATGGTTTTTCAATTTACTTTTGAGCCCGAATAATATTAAAAGCTCAAGCGTTTTTGAAAACCGTTTCAACAAAAATGAAAGCTTTGTAGTTGTCAATGCAGGCTTAGTTTCATTGATCTTATAAAATTACAAAATGTGTTAGGTATTGATTTTGCCTTTTTCCGCTTTTATGTTTATAAATAACTAGCGACCCGTCCTGTCTTCGCATGGGTGCAATGTATTATATACATAAAAACCTTCCTCTTGAATCATTAACTACTATCTATTAAACACCGCATCAAGATCCGTTGCGTAGTTTTAAAGATTTAAGCATACATAGGGACAGACACACAGCGGGACGACTTTGTGTTATTTTATGTAGTGATTATTTGTGTGAAATAAATAAATTAAACTCATCCGTCCATAGAGAACCGTTTCAAATTACGCCCCCGGCATCTTGTGAATTCGGTTATGATAGTGAACGGCGTAGTATTCGATAAAGCGGCGCTTAAACAGGGCTGCCGAGTCCGATCACGCGCGTCGCTGATTGCCCTAGCCGGTGGCGCTAATTTACGCATCCGTGGCAGCCCTGATCGATTCCACGGGCCAAGGCACCCCTTCGTTAGCCGATACGAGTTCTGTTTACTTAGCGAGCTTCGCGTCGGTTTTACGTACGTAGCTGTTGGCGTAGCTATTGGTTTTGCGTACGTTGCAACCGATGGCTACGCTTATTAAATGAAACTAGTTTACGGATTCCATCGCGTTTTTTATTTTGATTCGAACTCCCGACGTTTCGAACCCTTTCCAGCGTTCATGGTCTCCGGGCAGACTAAGTTGCTATACGTCTTGAAGTCATAGTTAACCCCGGCTCAAAAAAAATGAAAATAAAAAACGCGATAAAATCCGTAAAGTAGTTTCATTTAATATTTTACATATATAACAATATGATGGTTACGCTATTGATTAGCTAATAGTAACAACTAAGACTGAGCTTTGCTGGTGGAATTTTTTTTTTTTAAACGAAATTCCTGCGAAAACTGCCGCACAAATGGACATTTCCAGACCAGCTTAAAGCGGAAGTTGTTACACTTCTGCGTTTCGTCTGGTGAATTATGTAACTTATCACTTAACATTAGTGGAACCGCCAGCTGTCTTGCCATGATCTTACAAAAAATAATCTAAATCTAAATTGAAATTGACGATGTATAATATACGATAACAAGGTTTTATGTTCCTAAATCTATACGTAAATATGATTGTATTTGTCCCGTATTCGGGAAAATAGTATTCAAATTAATTATGATCACCTCTGAAGGCAACTTAATAATGCAAATTTTAATAAAAAAATTATGAACCATTCGAAAGACAATCCAATTTTGATGTCTTTAACTTTATCCTACGTCGAGAAGTTGAAATAGCCACGAAAATAAATAGATAACGTAACTAAAACGTAGTCAAAAGTTTTGTTGCATTTTACTAAATGCTAACTTTTTCCAATTTCAGGTACGCTGACTCCTCTCTACTTAGACTTGGGTAAGATTGTGCACTTTTCTTACTTTTTATTTAATTTTTCCCGATGGACTTTAATCTTCCAACTTCAAAGTTTCTCGCCGCCCGCGCCCGTGGAATTTCGAGTGGTTAGCTCGTAGCTTGCTACATTACGTAGGACTTCGTAGCACTGTAAATATCGTAGTGTGTTCAGTGTTGTTAAGTTATGAAAGAAATTCATCATGTTTGTTTATTACTTTATAGTTGAAACTCATGTTAACATGTTCATTGGATGTTTTACAGCTGTATTGTTGAAGAAATTTACCAGCTTTATTTAAGTTCTTTGGGATTAAATATTTTCTTTAAGGCTTATATCTGATTTGATAAAGTTTCTCCGTCGCCTTTTTGTTAAAACACTTACTTTATATTCAATATTATCAAAATGTGCTCTTAATTTTAATTCGAAAATATTAAGCATGTGTTTCGTAATTAAAATATACGAAATAAAGAAGAAAAAAAAAACGGATTAATAAGTCTAACCATCCGTCATTTTTTAAATAAAATAATATTAAAATATTTAATAAATCAAACATATTTCGTTCACGAAATCGGTTTTCTGCAACACTTTTCTGTTTGCACGGAAAGTTTCTGTACAGCCTGTCAATAAATTCCCTTGCGAGGCCCTCACGGACAGATTTGGCGGCCGTAGGTATTACATTAATGAGTAGAGAGAAAAATTCTTGTTATGGGCAAAAGCTCCGCATCAAAACTGCCGCCGTGGCGGAGAGCCAATTAGCAAGCACCGTTCGCTGAACTCTTAAGACAGTCGACTTTCGACTGTCTTAAGAGTACGACTTAGTGCCATATGCAATGACGTTATATACAAATACGAGTATATCTATATAGTGTATGGGAGCCCCACTTGAATATCATTTATTCAGTTTTTAGTATTTCTTGTTATAGTGGCAACGGAAATACATAATCTGTGAAAATTTCAACTGTCTCTAACTTTCACGGTTCATGGGATACAGCCTAGTGACAGACGGACGGACAGACAGACAGCGGAGTCTTAGTAATGGGGTCCCGTTTTACGGAAACTTAAGAAGGGCAGTTTGATAATTCAACTACGTTCCAATTAAATTTTGTCGCTGTGTTTCCATCTCGCAACATCTGCGTCTTGTCTTCATGCTTTGGAGCGTAGGTGTTGTTACGGATTCGGGAGTTTGTTTCTTTTTAATTATCTCGTCTTACCTTCTTAGTTTCTATCGTTTTGTTTTTTTTTTGTTTTCTTTTAATTAATTCCGAAGAAGTTGATAGCCGTTGTTTTGTTGTGGCGCCTTTGGTACGTTTTCCTTTTAGTCAGAATATTTTAAACATTTTTGCATTTGTTGCTTTCTTTTATGGTAACATCAAAGTGCAAAAGCAGCGTGGGAGTTTAAAAGTAAAATTTCCTCCCTTCAGAGATAAGCATTTATAATGAAACATTTGAAAGTGAGAGCCGTGATAGCTCAGTGTCCGGGCGCTCGCCTTTAGTTCAATATACTCGAGCAACCTGAGTTCGATCCCCGGTGCCGGCACCAATGAAGTTTTTAACTTTAAGTGCTGACTTATCACGTGCTCCGCGGTGAAGGAAAACATCGTGAGGAAACCTGCATATTTACGAAATAATAACAAAAAAATATATATTTTGAAGATATGTGAAGTCCGCCAATACGTAGTGGGGCCGCGTGGTGGACTATGCCCTGATACCCTCTCTATAGAGGAGGCCTTTGCCCAGCAGTGGGATATGTATAGGCTGTTACTTTACTTTTTATTTGAAAATGTCTGATGGCTTGATTAGTGATAAGCCTTCGATGCGTTGGGTCGTGAGTTTTATCCTCATCCGAATTAGGAAAAACTGTTCCAAGTCTGGGTCCTTGTCCAAATTATTATTTTTTAATGAAACGCCTGTATACGCCAATAATATAATGCATTTTGCATTTTTGCAATTTATATATTATACGCAAGGAAACTATTATAATCCCTACTAATATTATAAATCTGTACCTCAAAGATAAACAGCATTAAGTGATAAAACACAATTTTTACAGGAGAGGCAAAACTGCGTGAGTGAATCCTTGAATGCATTATTGATTATGATGTCATATACTTTTGGATATTTTATTAATTAGGTGCCGTAGGGCTTAAAGCTTTATACTATAGTGTAGAATATGTTCCTGCGATTTTAATGGTAACTGTATAACTCTGAGGTACAAAAATGTGAATGTAAGTTTGTTAGTTACGCCAAAACTACTTTTGCACATATTCTTAGAGGTATTAAAAAGGACATAGGATCTTTTTATTAAAAATATACATTAAAAAAAAAAGATATTTATTTAAGGTCTTCAACGCGAGCGAAGCCGTGGGCGAGAAGCTAGTAGAATATAAATTAAATGTATTATAAAAATAATATTATAAACCTACAAAGACGAGGTAGATATTTTGCCACTAGCGCGCCAAAACTGAGGCACTCAAATTACACCAATTGGTGTAATTAGATTGGAATTCTATAGACTGCTATCTCTTTCCGTATCATACGTTCTATATCATCTGTCACATTCACTTATATATGTCAAACAATGAAAAGCGGAACAATTTTTAAACGCCACGCAGTATGGACATGCATCATCTATATCATCAAACGTCATTGGGTGATTACAGAAAGTGAGGAACTTTATTGTAGACATGTTAATTTAAAAATAGAACAATAACTGGTTTGATACTACGCGATGGTTCCCATGTTGTTTAATTTTGAATAACAACGATTCCATCTTCTTCTTCTCTATATTATAAAGAGGAAAGATTTGATTGTTTGTATGTATTGAATAGGCTCCGAAACTACTGAACCGATTTGAAAAATTCTTTCACTGTTGAGAAGCTACATTATCCCCGTTTGACATAGGCTATATAATATTTTCAAAAAAATTAGGGATTCTTACTAAAACTCCAATAATGTTATTCAAGGTGTACAAAAATTACCTAAAATATTCTTTACATCGCGTGCGCTGCGAAAACTATTGATGATAGAATAAAATAATGTACTCCGACTTTGCAGACCACATCATTATTTACAAAAAGTGTCGCGACAGCATATGTCTAACTATTATAGTTATGCCACAATAAGCGTTCTTTTATTTTAAAATTTTGATTGAAATGCCGGCGCTGTTTATTCATCTGTTTGTTTATCATACAAAGGCTGTTTATTTTTATCTTGGTATTAATCCTTATAAAATAACTTAATTCATATTTAAGACTGTTTCAATATCGTCATAAAACTTTTTGAATGATTAAATTCGGACATTCCATTCCTTAGATATTGCAAGTTTAAAAATGTTAGTAAATTGTAATTTAACTATCCAAACAGCTTAGTTATTCATACTTAGTAGTTCATATAAGTTTTCAATCACATTTATACTGGTAATTCCTGTTCAACAAATTATTAAATACTAAGGAAGTTTAATTTTTTTATCATTTTAAAATGCCCAAAAGATCAAGATCTCATCTTTCTAGAAATAGATCCCAGGCGAGGACATTAAAAATACGTCATAATCAGGAATCTTTACCGGAAACTGAATATCGTCTTACAAGTTGGAGAGAGTCAAGTGGAGTGTTTGCAGTGGCTCGAAGAGTATAATAATATAAATATACAAATTCACACTAGGGAATCGATCTGAGCGTTCCCAACGTACACGAGATTAGAGAGAAAGATAACAAACGTCAACGACTAGAGTTCGTGATCGAGTTTTAGCTCACAGTAACTGATCAGCTTGCATGCATTTTGCTCAACAGTCTTCCGTCCAAATCGTAGCCACGAATAAGATCTGCTCTAAGTGTTCGGCCAAAAATGGGTCGATGAACCAAATGGTATGTGTTGTGCTTCTAGAAAAAGTAGTCTCCCCAATATTGAGGAGCCGCCACAACCAATAAAAATTCTTTTTACAAATAATCATTCACCATCAGGACATTTTTAACCAACATCTGAAAGTACAATAGCCTCTTTTAAATGACTTCGTTTGACGCGAACTTTTAAAATAGAGGGACAAGTATAAAATTTATCATCATCCTCCTGCCCCTATCCCACCTAGGCGGGGTCGGCACAACATCAATCATGTTGTAAGCGGTTTTGGCTATATTTTTACAACCAGCCGCCTGCTTGACGTCAATCCTCCTTGGGAAATAAATACCCAGATCAAATTTCAACTGTGTAACTATCATGGTTCATAAGATACAGCCTGTTGATAGAGGGACAAACAGACAGCGGAGTCTTAGTAATAGGGTCCCGTTTTACCCTTTGGGTACGGCATCCTAAAAAGGCCCCAGAGATGTAGTGTTGCACGGTAGACACGGCAAACTTAAAAGGATCTCTGAGTTACACCGATTGTATGATCCATAAAAATATCCCTTAATAGTCGTAATAGGAGAAGACGGTGAATATTTGACTATTCCTCAGCAAGGTACTGTGCGTAACAAAACTATGACATGCATGCAATTGTATGCATTTAGGTTAATGGTTAGAGCTACCTGTTTTAAGCCATTGCATTATTACTGGGACTTATTAGGGTTCCGTACCCAAAGGCTATAAACGGCACCCTATTACTAAGACTCCGCTGTCTATCTGTATGTCCGCATGTCTGTCCATATGTCACCAGGCTGTATCTCATGAATCGTGATAGTTAGTTGAAATTTTCACAAACGATGTATTTCTGTTGCTGCTATAACAACAAATCCTAAAAACCAAAAAAATATACATAAGTGGAGCTCCCATAAAACAGACATAATTTTTTGGCCGTTTTTATAGATAATGTTGACAGTAGTAGTGTTTTTGACAATATGTAAGTGTATATATATTGAATAAAGATAATATACTACTATATTGAATAAAGATAATAAAACATGATTTTTTTTAATGTGATAGAGTGGCAACTGGGAATGAAGCGTACTCTCACTACTTATACAGATAGATGTACCTATTTTGGTATGTCTACTTTACAATACCGCAGGCTGAT